CCCCCACCCTCTGGAACGAGCTGCCCCCAGAGATCCGGGTGATTCCGGATCTCCCCTCCTTCCGCCGCGCCCTCAAGACATGGCTGTTTCAGCAGGCAGGACTGGCCTAGGGATATTTTTACTATTGGATTTTTAATCAACTTTTAAAAATAAGGAAAGGCCAATTTAAATATATTTTTTAATCTGTTTTAATTTTTTTTATATTGTATCAATTGTTCTGTTTTAATTGGCTGTAAGCCACCCTGAGTCCACCAGGAGAAGGGCGGGATATAAATGCAATAAACTTAAACTTAAACTTAAACAGTCATAAGTGTGAAAAATGGTCATAAGTCACTTTTTTCAGTGCTGTTGTAATTTTGAACAGTCACTAAGCGAACTGTTGTAAGTCAAGGACTACCTGTACTTTATATCACTTTTTTCCTTTTTTTTTTTTGGTCATCAAGTTTTTGACACCTTGCTAGGTGACTGGTGGTACTCGAATATTGCCATATTCTAAAAGTGGTACAATCAGTGAAAAGGTTGAAAAGCCCTACTCTAAAGGATGCACTGTGAGGCTTCTATTCATAGAAAAGAGCAAACCCAAGAAGTATAGCATATTACAGAAAAACAGTTCTCCATGAAATCATGTGTGATACTTAAGCAATTCAATTGGAGGAGGCAATATTGTTTGATACAAAGGTGCTTTTTCAAAAGGCAACTGGACTTGGTTTTTCCTTGAAGACATTTCACTTCCAAGAAGCTTCTTCAGCTCTGACCAAATGGTGGAGAATGGAAAGATTTATACTGCTTGCAGTTATCTGCTTATTAGGATTCTTTTTGAGAGTCATTGAGGCCACTGGAAGGTTTATCTATAATGCAGATAAGTGTGGAACCTTCTTGGAACTGCTGAAAAGACTGTGTTGTAGACAGGAGATAGGTGGTGTCATATTCCTCCCCCTTTGACCTCTCTTTCAAACCAGTGGTCATCTCTGTCCAGAATGTGGACTTTGCTGTCTTCAAAAGAGTGATCTTTGTCTTTCAAATGCAGATGCACTACTGAATCTTGTCCTGATGGGTTTGTTCTCCTATGTTGTGCCATGCTTTTGCGAAGTGGTTGTTTTGTTTCTCCAGAGTACAGATGTGTACATGTCTCACTGCATTGTACTGCAGCCCTTTCAGCAGTTCCAAGAAGGTTCCACACCCATTTGCATGATTCAGGAGGTGACCCTAAGGGCACAGATAAACTTTCAAGAAGCCTCAACGACTCTCAGAAAGAATGCTAACAAGCAGATGACTGCAAGCAATATAAATCCTTTCATTCTCCAACCATTCAATCAAAGCTGAAGAAGCTTCTTGGATGAAAAGCAAAATGTCTTCAAGGAAAAATAAAGTCCTTTTGAAAAAAACACCTTTGGGACAACCATGACCAGCATATTTGAGAATCTCCATAGACAATATTGTTTGAGCATAAGATGCATTTCACAGCATGTGTAACATGAAACGTAGTTCTGGGACATGAAAACAGATTTCTACTTTTTAAAATGTCTGAGATAAGAATTATATGGTCAACTTGTGCCATTTTTTCCCCTCTAGGGCACTGTGTCCATGCATTTTCAAACCTAATGACAATTCCTCTGAAATTGAGAAGTTGGAGTTTTTAAATCGAAGATATCAGGTAAGGGAAATTTATTATAAATAACATATAGCAGTGTTCTACACCTCATCCTTTTAAAAACCAAGCATCAACATATTAGATATTTTTGCCATTTTACTAACTCTGCTTCAGGATTTGTTTTTAATCATTAAAAGCAAATTAGTTTAAAAATAATAAATAGTGACTTAAAATGTCAAAATTACATTTAGTCTTTTTCACACCTTCATTTAAAAGCGTACTTGCAGTGCTGGGCCAACTTTTGATAATAATCACATAACCTAATTTTTATCAATAAAACACACATCCCAATCCTATGCACCTTTACTTACAAGTTCAAAAAGGTTTAACATAAATGGAAATACATCGTAATTCCAAAAAGTGCAACTGACCAAAAGCTGCAGTTATACACTTAATATGGAAATAGGCTCCATCAAACCTGTTTAAAAATACTTTGTGTTATATAGTTGGTCAATAAAATACTGGCTCTCTTGAGAAAAGTAAGACTGTTTTTCTGCTTGAATTATTTTAACCTGTTTTAAATTCCTTTAAAGCCTGTAAGTCCATTGCTTCATTTTGGGGGTACATTATATATTTAAACAAAAAATAATGCAACAATTCCTCCAGTATTAGATAGAACAAATGGACTTGAAAAGGCAGAGGTCCTGCTGTGTGCTCCATAAATATCAGATGTCTGGTTAGAAGCAAAGCCCAGCAACTTGGACTTTGAAATGTGACTTAGTTTGACAGTGAGCAAAGAAAAGATGATTACAGTAGAGGCAAAAATGCAGTGGGCTATTGTTTTGATGGTACAGTTTCTTTTGTTATTGGGAATCTGAGGAAAAGAGCCTGTAGCAGAAATGAGAATTTGGAATAGATTCTCAAGACCACATCACATATTACATCATGGAGATTTATGACATAATCTCCCTATTCAGATTAAAAAAAATAGGGATTCTAATTGTTTTGCAGAACAATAGGTATGTAAATTTTGTGGGCAATGTTAACCAGAAAACCAGAGTTTTCTCTCTCTTTGAATGCTTGCATTTCCATAGGTCTTGACTATTTTCTATTGGAACAAACTCTGCCATTATCTCCTTTTCTTTCATCTCAGTGCTTACTTCATTTAACCTCAGATAAAATTCCATTTTTGAGTTTTTGGTTTTTCATGAATGTATGTTCAGAATTCATCTCAAGTCACAGGCAACACTGAAATGGCAAGTTGGGAAATCTTTGGAGGACTTAATCTGAACCCTTAGGTAGCTTCTCACGTTAGCAACTTTATGTGTGTCTGTGCATGAATGTGCAAGAGAAATTGTAAATTGTAAATCACTAAATGTACAATATATAACACACATGTACTGAAAAACATGGATCAGATGAATTGTGGGATGGAGAAGAATTAATTTTTACTCCATGACCTTTGGTAATTCAAAGGATGGGGAAGCATGCATTATCTTATACTTTGGATGGAGGGGGGGGAAGCACTAATGGGCTTGAGTTTAGTTCTGAGTTTCAAGGTCCATAAGAGTGTAGACAATTAGGGGTCAGATTCAAATGCTCTGAAAAATTAGCAATTTTCCCCACATAAAGAAGTGATTGAGCATTATTCCTGTGTTTGACATGTCTTTGACAGACATATCAGCCTGTCATTTCACTGTTTAGCTGCTCTAAAAGGAGCAATATAATGGGTTTTTGTTTTTCCAGGAAGAAACGCATCGCTTAATCGAGAGTGGAAGGTATGACACAAGAGAAGATTTCACTGTGGTTGTGCAGCCACTTTTCGAAAAACCAGAAATGCCTATGACTCCGGTAACTACAAATGTATACATGTGCTACCTTTTTGAGAACTGTAAAACATAGGTGGGACCTAGCTAACTTAAATACCATTGAGTTCAATGGTCTCATTTACATTTGACTGTGTCTGAACCCAACTCATAATATGGTGAGATTGGGAATTATTTGGGCAGGAGAAGGATAGCAAAGCCATGATGGTTGCAAGCAACTATGATTTAATGGTCAGCAGACTAAATTGCATATCAATGGCCATCTGGAAGGCGAGCTCCATCTTCCACATCCAGTTTTGCTTCGCTGGGGGACCCTGGAAAGGGTTGAAAGTCACCCTGTAGGGGTGACCAGCAAGGAGGGGATCCCTGCTTGATCGCGGGAGGGCAGTAGCCCTTCCGCTTGATCTGGGGCAGCCATCCAAACCAGCGGATGAAAGACCAGCCATAGAAATACGGCTTGTCATTAGGCTGCAGACAGCCAAAGTCACATTTACCATCAGGCAACTATAAAGCAGCGCGGATGAGACTGGGTGAGATCTACCTCTCTTAAATCCTAACTATATTTTTTACCTGCATAAGCTGCTCAAAGTACTTTCCCCCCTGTGGAGAGGGAAAGGAGATTCTATCCCTCCCTCTAAAAACAGTGGTGACTGACTATCCAGGGGAGTTTAAAATGTTGTAAGAATAATTTGATCCTAATTGGAATTTTATTTTTTTTAAGTTTGTAGACTAAAAGATTTTTTATTCTTACCGAAGATCTGGGTTTTTACTTACAAAAAAGAAGTAAAATTGAAAAGATTATAACAATTTTGGACTTAAAAGAAAACTTTAAATGGTATGGGTGACATCTTATGGCTAAACCTGATATTACAACTTGTTATTGCTTAAAAGAGACTTGGCCAGTAGCCCAGACTATAGATAAGACTTTTGTAACCTTGAGATATCAGCTGTGAGAGGCCCAGCTGTGTTCTATACTCAGTGACAAAAAAGTTTTTTTTTTGCATTCTCTGATTGCAAAGCTTTTAACCTAATACATTACTAAGAGCATATGGGTGAAGATCAGGAACAGATTCTCTTTATGTTGAAAGCAATTTATGAAACTATTATTACAGCTACTGATGAAATAAGAAGTTACAGAAAATAAAAAGATGTCAGCCCAAATATACGAACTCAAACTTTGATTACAACT